TTTGGCTGCTACAAACAACCGTAATGTGAACAAAATTAATATACCCTTGTGCACAAGTGCGCCCGGGTATAAAAAAATACACTTTGACTCCCTTTTCACTCCATACTCGGAGCGTTCCGAAAACGCTCCTTCGAGGAGTTGCGCTCCACATTAGGAGCGCTCCGCTTTTGGCTGGCTGGGTAGTTTATAATATGTAATTTTTTCTAATATGTGCAAGAACATCCTGTTGATAGACTTCATGAACAAATAAATATATACATAAATAAATCATATGAAGCGGTTGGCATGAAGTACTATGATTTCAGGGTATGCACCTGGAATATCTGGACTCTTAAGGGGGAAGATGCCTCTGCCCGGCTAGCTGATGTCCCCGGGAAGACAAAGGCAGACATCACTGTAATCGAAGAGATGCGAATACAGGTGGACGAACGTATAGCCACAATTCGCAACAAAGCGAGAATGTTCAACATCTAACTCATCTGTTCCCATTCTCGGACGGAAGAGAAGGATGAGGCATCCAAGGATCTCTTCTGTGAGCGCCAGGAGCGTACCTATGAGCGCTACCCCCGACACGATATTCAAATCGTGCTTGGCGACTTCAATGCCAAGTGGGCAATGAAGAGATCTTTGGCGCCACTGTTGAAAAATTCAGCATCGCCGACGAAACCCCCGACAACGGCCTGAAGCTGATCGATTTCGCCGAGGGCCAAACATCGACTCGGATCAATATCTTTTGCAGCCAAAATACACATACGCCTCTGTGTTGTAAAACATGTGCACCCAACAATGCAAGGAAATCTTAACGTCGAAAAGCTGCAATCACAACACACGGCCAATTTATTCACCAATCGACTCTCACACCTGCTCTCTGAGAGCACTCTTCAACAAACCGACATATGCGAGCAGTGAAACCACATTTCCTGATCATTAAGTACTGTCGCCGAAGGAGTAGTCCGATTTCAGTGAGCCCGAAAGAACAACTGGTACGATGAGGAGTGTAGAGAAGCAGAAGAGAAAACAGATGCCGCCTACAGAGCTACGCTACGATCGGGCGCAACGCGAGCCATGTGGGACCGTTATAGGGAGCTGAAGAGGGAAGCGAGACGTTTTTGCCGTAACAAGAATAGAGAAAGGTGGAAAACGTGAGTGTGAACAGCTTGAAATGCTGGCAGACAGAGAAAACCCCCGAAAACTTTATCAGAGAGCTGTCCTGCTGGTAAACGAGGTAAAAACGAAGTATCTCTTGTCATCACACAGACAGTTAGAGCATACGCGTCTGTTAACAGTTCGAATTTCCAATTGGCGGTAGAAGTAAACAAGAAGAAATTGCTTATTTTTTTGCATGCTCTTTTTCTTGCCAGCTTCCATTTGATGTTATTAAAATGAAAAATAATCCTTTCAAAAGGTAGGATTCATACTAGAACATTTCTTCCATCACATCAACTCTGTTTGTCGGCAAAAGAAGAGGTGGGGTGAGTTCTCAAAATGTTATTCCACCTTCTACCCGCATTAAAGCGGCGGTTTGCTGCAGCGCACTAACTGCCGTCGCTAAATTGGCGCGTCAAGCGCCAAACAACTGCCAAAAATCCTCATGACCGTACAATTTGTATGAAGCATCCCACAATAACGAGGCGCCAGCGCCGAGCAAATGGAATTTTCACTTTTGACAGGGCGTTACGTGTTGAAGTTGGATGCAAAAGACGGAAAGAACGGGAAAGGACAAAAAAGTGAAAGAGAAAACGAGAATAAAAACGAGAGGAATTGAGAAAACGTCAAAAATTACGCAGCGTTGATTTTGGGAATAGCA